AAATTTAAAGTTCAGTTCAGGTTTAATTGAACTTGAACCTGAACCTAAATTGAACTAAACTGAACTTTGGAACACTAATGTAAGGTACTCTGTATTTCAAGATCTTTGATAAATCAAAAATAGTAAAATCATGTAATAAAAAATTATAGTAAATAAATAAATATTTAAATATTTAAATTAATAATACAATAGATTCATAGTAATAATTTTTCTTGTTAAGTTTTCTTCTTGTCTTCATAATTATTTCCTTTATTTTGTTATAATTATGAGAAAAAAAAAGATAAGATTGTTTTAGCTAGCAATTTGTGAAATGATCAAAGAAAATTAATATGTGATCATTATTATATCAATTTCAACCTTACCCAAAAAGAGCTTGCAAAGTAGGCAAAAAAAAAATTTAATCTATTAAAAGCCCAGCTCAAAGTACAATTTTCGAAATTTTAAAAAGAAAAAAAGAGTTTGAAGCAATGTCTATGAGTGATTTTAAAGTTAAAAGATGTCGTATTGTTATATTTCCTGAATTAGATATTGTATTAGCAAATTGGGTTTTACAATATGATAATCGAGGTGTATGTCTAAACAGAGATATGATCAAAGCAAAGAGAAAAAAATTAGCAGATTTAATGAAAATTCCAGAAGATAACCATCCAGAGTTCTCGAATAGATGGTTACAAGCTTTTCAAGAAAGATACAATTTTCATAATTTTAGACTTCATGGTGAAGGTTGTTCTGCTGATCTTGAAGCTATTAAATTAAACCTTTCTATTATTATTCGCAAAACTAATAAATATTCTCTAAGAGATATTTATAATATAGATGAAACTAGATTGTTTTATTCTATAGCTTCTGATCGTACTATCACATCTCGTCAAATTGAAGAGATAAAAAAAGACTGTATCAGACTTACAATTGTACTTATATCTAATACTGATAGCATGTACAAGCTTTAACCCTTCATTATCAGTCATGCCACAAAACTTAGATGTTTTAAAAAAAAAGGAAAAGGAACTTGGGTTTTATTATCGAAATAATTTAAAAGCCTGGATGACTGCTAAGTTTTTTCAGGTAATAATCTCAGGTTGAATATCAGGTATATACTGGGAGACAAGTCTCCTGAATCAGGAGACTTGTCTTCTGGTATATACTTAATTAAAGTTGTTAGTCAAAATTGTTTTTGCTAATATCAAAATTTGTCTAAATTAAATTGTCTAAATGTCTAAACTTATTTTTTAATAGCAATTTTTTTAAAAAATAGCAAAGTCAAAATTGCTTAAATTCAATTTGCCTAAATGCCTAAATTTCGACTAACAACATTATATCTGATATTCATTAATTTAACCTATGAATGCAAATCAAGTTAATAAAGTTATTGAATATTTTTTTTTTATTATATATTTTTTTTTTATTATGTATTTTTTTTTTATTATATATATTTTTTTTATTATATATTTTTTTTTTATTATGTATTTTTTTTTTTATTTTCAGGAATGGATTGAAAATTTTGACAAAGAAATAGAAGAGTCAAATCATTGTGTTTTACTTATCTTGGATGGTGCCTCTTCACATATTACTGGTGCTATTACTCTAACTAATATAGAGATGTTTAAGCTGTCTCTATATATAATATCAAAGATACAGCCAATGGACACTAATATCATTATATTGTTTAAGCTTCATTATTGTCATATACAACTTGAACATACAATTGATGAAGATGAAGCTAGGAAAAGTGATATATACAAAGTTAATCAGTTGCAAGCTATGAGATGGGTAAAAGTTAATATTAGTATTGAACTATATTTAAATTTTTTAAAAAAAAATTTGAAAATAGTTCAAATATTAGACTATACAATTTAATTTCTTGGTTTTTATAACATGTATCTTTTAAATCGATCTAGTTAGCCAGTTTTTTTTTTTAATAGCCAAATCACGAGTTATCTAAACAAATATTTTTTTTTTATATATAAATTTTACTATAAGCCCGAATGTGCAGCACACCTATCTAAAACTTTTTTTTTACTAAGTAAATCACTTTTGGGCTTGTAACAAAAGTTGTAAAGCTCATCAAGAAGCAT